GGTTGTCATTGCGACTAGCAGCAGCAGCGGCATGCAGCATTTCAGGGAGGCTTGAAGTCCCAGAAGGTCATAGCCAAAAGGCGTTTAGAGGTCACCCTAGTCTTAAAGATCATGTGTTCCATGTGTATAGACATAAAAACAGACTTGGAGAGAGACAAGCGATGTGTTCAAAGTCACCAGCCAATAGCTGGTAAAACTGGGGTATTCCAGCCACTACCACCCACATGCCCTGGCTCCCTGGTTATCACTGACCATTCTGACTTAGATTTGAGGGGAGGGCAGATGTGGAAAGTACAGGACGACAGGACTGGTTCTCTTCCAGCAGCTGCCTGCCACAAGCTCCCTGCCAGAGGAGCAGTCAGCAGCCCGGGACAGACTGGGCTCCAGAGTGAGCTGGGTCCACGGCTATTCCCTCTTCCATCTGGACCAGGAGCTGGGGTAAATCCCAAAGCCCTTCAGGAAAGAGAGGGCAGATCTGCAGGACAGATCTGCAGGGAGAGTAAGAGAGAGCAAATGCTGACGGTGCTGTCTCCCATGGGCAGCCACCCAGCCAGCCCTACAGCGAGCTGGGGGAAGGGCTTCTTTCCAGACAACCAGACTTACAAAGGCATCCTGGTGCCTGGGAAAAGGAGCCCTAGGGCAGAGAGATCAAAGTTCCTTTCTGCTCCATCAGCTGCCAGGAACCCACAGAACCTACAGGCATTGTTGAGAGAACACAGCAGAAACAACAGGCGTAGTTGGGGCAGGTGGTTGGCAAAGGCAGCCACTAAGTTCAGCCCCAGCTGATGCCCTGCCCATCCAAGAAATTAGAATGACTCTGTTGGGACTCATCCTCCTTCTCTCTAGTACATGTTTTAAATTTTTTTAAGTAATAGTAGGAAAAGCACAAGCTTTGAAGTCAGACAAAATGGTGTTCAAATCCTGGCTTTGCCATTCTTTATTCTGTGACCAGGGGCAGTTAGCAAAATGAATCGGTCCTCTTGTGCTTACCCCCTTCAATAGGGTAACAGGGTTGCTGTGGAGGCTAAATGAGACACTAGTGCAAGACCAGACATATAGAAGAAGCAAAACAAATATCTGTTCTTAATGCTTGTTCAATAAATGGTAGCTGAGGTTGTAGTAGTGGTGTTATGGTTATCACGGCAAATAGTGAGCAAAACCAAAGTAATGTTCAAGTTGAGGATTAAATTCAGCTCAATTTTTCTTTTTAAACTGTCAACTCTCAACTGACAATTCTAATGAAGGAAGACTAGGAACATAAGTAGCTGATCCCAAAGCCAGCTGAATTTGGTTTGCAAAGTGTCATTAGGTATTTTTGCAATCGTGTTATCTTTCTGTTTTCCTCATTCTAACAGTCGAAAGAATCAGTATGCCCTGAGTACTTACAGACTGGTGATAAAAAACAGACTTGATAAAGACTGAGAAGCAGAGAACGAATCTCATTGAGAATGGATTTAATCTCAATAGATCTGAGATTAAATCTTTTTTATAGAAAATATGCAAAGAAAATTCTTAAGTTAATAATAGGAAGTCCACTGTATGTTTTCTCTATTATTTCCAGTACCACCAAATTTTCATTACTCTATTGAAATGCATCTAGAATGATACAACCATTAGAGAACAATAGGAATTTATCACCCTCTCCATTTTACAGGTGGGAAAACAAATAACCAGAGAGATGCCTAATTGATGTTCTGGTCAAGTCAATTGATGATGAAGGCACAAACTCTTGATCACTGTTTCCTGGACTTGTCTAGTGAATAGGGTTGCCTGGGCACTTGTTAAAAATTCATGGCACATGTACACCTGTGTAACAAACCTGCATGTTCTGCACATGTACTCTAGAACTTAAAGTATAATTCAAAAAAAAAAAAAAGAGTAACTCCTTAAAAAAAAATGCTCTCTCACTTCCCCTAAGTTCTCATTCCATAGATCCAGTGAAGGCTGGGATAGTTTTTAAGGGCACTTATTAAAAATGTTCTCTCACCTCCCCCAACTTCTCATTCCACAGATCTGGGATGGGGGCTGGGATTGTTTTTAATGATAACATCATGGGATTCTTTCTTTGAGACAGTCTTGCTCTGTTGCCCAGGCTAGAGTGCAGTGGCATGATCTGGCTCACTGCAGCCTCTGCCTCCTGGGTTCAAGCAATTCTCCTGCCTCAGCCTCTTGAATAGTTGGAACTACAGGCACATGCCATCATGCCCAGTTAATTTTTTGTATTTTTAGTAGAGATGGGGTTTCCCCATGTTGCCAGGCTGGTCTCAAACTCCTGACCTCAAGTGATCCACCTGACTCGGCCTCCCAAAGTGCTGGGATTATAGGCATGAGCTGCTGCATCTGGCCTGACATCATGGGATTCTTATCAGGGTCAAGATGAGGGTGAGCTAAGTGAGGCAACAGCCTTGGGCACATAAAATTAAGGGAATGCCAAAAAAGTCAGTAATCAAGATAAATCATAGTTTAATGCTATCTTTTTTAAAATCAAGGTTAATGCAAAAAAATCCATGATGAACAAAATACCGAAAGTTTGAATGAAGACAAGATCAGTAACAGTGCTGTCCTATCTTCAAGTCTGGGTAAAAAGAAAATTGGCAATACTGATCTCCCTTCTCTAGTCATGGCCCTGATTCTTATAATCGTCCAAGTTTGGGAAATTCTACCCTGGACAGTTAAACTTCCAGCTCCTCTCTTCTCCAGGAAATACACCCTGCTTTTCTAATTTCTTAAATAATGATTTTTGATTGTTGTTCTTGGAGTAAGGCTGATCTAGAAGTAAACAAAACCTCTGGAGGTAGGACCTGGAATCCCAAAGTACCCAAGTGAATTCTGAGCATAGCCAGGTCTGAGATCCACTGTCCTAGGCAAGCCTCAACACCCCTAGGGAAAGCAAGAGACAAATGATTTCCCTGAGCTCCTCAGCCTCCTTACCTTCTCTGTGTCAATGCCTCTGGACATGGACCAAGTGGACACGATATAATCCATGACTCGCTCGCTCAATCCTTTTGGCACCTGGTAGAGCTTCAGGAAGTCTCGAACACTGTTGAGCATCTCATGGTATCTGTTGGTGTTGGCATACATCTGTTGGAAAATGGTCGTCACATTTCCGAAGATGGTGGCATAGAGAAGTGCTAGAGGTGAGGAGGAGGAGCAGGAGAAGAAATAACACGTGAGTGGTCCCTAAGCCAGGGTTCCAGAATGCTCAGCTTGCTCAGAGTAGGCCATTGGCCAGAGCTGCCTCCCCCTCCCGCCCGCAGTGCAGACTGCCCTGACTATTCTCAGGAGACCCTCTCACCTGGAGCTTCTGGGGCATGGATGCAAAGAAAGAGCCTCCTAACACCAAGCTACTAGGAGAAACCTGTGGGAGGCAGGGTTAGGGTGGATGGGAGCTGGCATGGCTGGGGACAGAACTAAGACACAGCAGTGGGGGCTAGGCAGTGGCTTGCGGGGGCGGGGGTGAGTTGTACTGCTTCATTTTATACCTTCTGTCATAAAAAGTTTGAGCCATGCCTGAGGTCACTAGTCAAATGTGTGCCTATGTGCTCCATACCAGTCAAAATCCAAACCCATCGGTGAATGATCTTTATCAAGCTCTGCTATGTGCCAAGCACTATGCTACCTGCCAAGGACAGGATGGTAAATAAACAGTCAGACCTGGTCCTCACAGAGCTAAAAACAGAGCAGGAATGACAGGCCTTAAATAAATAATCACAAATAAATAAAAAATAGGAAGTCTGCAGAGCGCAGTGAAGGATGTTATATCCTTGTTTTGCACTTATTGTTAGTGCACCGATCTGCTTCACTGTGATGTGGCTCCTGGGGAAAAACATAGCTTTAATATGGTAAGAATAAAATCCAGTCCTCTTTGAGACATAACAAGTATGTACTATGTGCTACTACAGCTCCCCCTACATTTGTATTAGGAAGAAGGATCATTCTGTTATTACAAAATCCCACCTTCTACCTCTAACTTCCATTGTTCAATGCTGAGCTCAACAGCTACTGCTTCCAGGAAGTCTTCCTAAATACCTTCTGCCCTCCATCTGTCACCACAAGTGCAACCATGATTTACCAGGCATATTTCTACAGAACTCATATGACACCATTTTGCAATCATGTGCTTCTTTCTTTGCCTATTCCCTGACAGTGTGAGTTGCTTGAAGGCTGAACCCTTCTTTTCCTTGCCGTTCTATCTCTAGGATCTAACACTATACCAGTACTTAATAGGTATTTGTCAAATTTCACACATTTTTGCTCTGACTTTTTAAAAGATGAGTTATTATTGATATATAATAAACTGTACATGCTTAAAGTATATAATTTGCTATGTTTTGACATATGTACACCAATAACACCATCACCACAATCAAAATAGTGAACATATCCATCACCGACAAAAGCTTTGTCATGCCTCTTTGTAATCTCTCCCTCCCATCCCTACCTGCTTTCCACCTGCCATCCCCAAACAACCACTGATCTCTCTTCTGGCACCACAGATTAACCTTCATTTTCTAGAATTTTATAGAGATAGAATCGTACAGTATGTAATCTTTTTAACATCTTTATTAAGATATAATTCATACACCATAAAATGTATCCATTTAAACCACAAAATTCAACGGTCTTTAGTATATTTACAGAGTTGTGCAACTATCACCACAATCTAAGTTTAGAATATATTCCTCCCAAAAGAAATCCCATACCCATTACCAATCATTCTCCATTTCCTCCCAAGTCTCTTGCCCTAGACAACTGCTAACCTACTTTCTATCTTTACTGATTTCCATATAAGTTAAAATCATACAACATGCGGCCTTCCATGACTAGCTTCTTTCACTTAACATAATGTTTTCCAGCTTCATCCCATGTTGCAGCATGTATCAGTACTTCATTCCTTTTTAATCTGAACACCACTCTACTGTGTGGATATTACACATTTCATTTACCCATTCATCAGTTCATGGGCATTTGGGTTGTGTCTGCTTTTTGGCTATTATAAACATTCATGTGTAACTTGTTGTTGTTGTTTTTAGATTGAGTCTCACTCTGTCCCCCAGGCTGGAGTGCAGTGGCGCGATCTCGGCTCACTGCAAGCTCCACCTCCCGGGTTCACACCATTCTCCTGCCTCAGCCTCCCGAGTAGCTGGGACTACAGGCACCCGCCACCACGCCCAGCTAATTTTTTGTATTTTTTAGTAAAGACGGAGTCTCACCATGTTAGCCAGGATGGTCTCGATCTCCTGACCTTGTGATCCGCCCACCTCAGCCTCCCAAAGTGCTGGTATTACAGGCATGAGTCACTGCTCCCAGCTGGCTCGTGTGCAAGTTTTTATGTGAACATATTTTCAATTCTTTTGTTTCTATACCTAGGAGTGAAATTGCTGGGTCATATGGTTACTATGTTTCACATGTTGGAGAAATTGCAGAATTGATTCGGAAAGTAACTGCACCACTTTACATTCCTGCCAGCAGTATATAAGAGTTCCAGTGTCTCAATATCCTCCATTAACATTTGTTATTGTGTCTTTTTCTTTCTAATGAGTATGACTTGCCATCTCATTGTGGTTTTGATTTGCATTTCCATAACAGCCAATGATGTTAAGCTTCTTTTCATGTGCTTATTGGTCATTTATATATCTTCTTTGGAGAAACCAAATCTTTGCCCATTTTTCAATTGGTTTTTTAAATTGTTGAGTTGTAAGAATCTTTTATATAATCTGGATACAAATCCCTTCTTAGATAAACGATTTGCAAATACTTTCTCACATCACATGGGTTGTCTTTTCACTTTATTGTGGTATTATTTACAGCACAAAAGTTTTTAGCTTTGATGTAGCTCATTGTATTTATATTTTTTTCTTTTTTACTGTTCTTTGACTGGTTTATTTGATTCAGCATATTTTGGGATTCATCCACATTATTGCATGTATTGTTTAATAATAGTTCATTTTTCTTTTTAAATAAGAAAAGCAAACATTTTACTTGAAATAATTAGAAATTTACAAGAAGCTTTGGGAGACTGAGGGAGGTGGATCACCTGAGGTCAGGAGTTCAAGACCAGCCTGGCCAACATGGTGAAACCTCATCTCTACTAAAAATATATATATATATAAATTAGCTGGGCATGAGGGTGCACACCTGTAGTCCCAGTTATTTGGGAGGCTGAGGTAGGAGAATCGCTTGAACCCAGGAGGCAGAGGTTGCAGTGAGCCAAGATCACGCCACTGCACTCCAGCCTGGGTGACAAAACAAGACTCCGTTTCAAAAAAAAAAAAAAAAATTACAAGAAGTTGCCAAGATGGTACAGAAAAATTCTGCGTACCCTTCACCCAGTTTCTCTCATCTTACATGACTACAGCACAATATCAAGAACAGGCTGACATTGCTATAAAGTATATGTATACTTCTGTGTCATTTTATCATATGTGTAGATTCATGTAACCAGCACTACATTCAAAATACAGAATTCTTCCATCACCACAGAGATCTCCTTGTGCTTCCCATTTATGGGCATGCTTCCCCCAGCAATCACAACTTTTTCTCCTTTATTATAATTATGTCATTTTAAGAATGTTATAAAAGACAGGCACAGTGGCTCATGCCTGTAATCCCAGCACTTTGGGAGGCCAAGGCAGGCAGATCACTTGAGGCCAGGAGTTTAAGACCAGCCTGGTCAACATGGCAAAGCCCTGTTGCTACTAAAAATACAAAAAAAAAAAAAAAAAAGTTTAGCCAGGCATGGTGATACACACCTTGTAGTCCCAACTACTTGGGAGGCTGAGGCATAAGAATCACTTGAACCTGGGAGAGGTAGATGTTGCGTGAGCTGAGATTGTGCCACTACACTCCAGCTTGGGTGGGTAACGAAGCAACTCTGTCTCAAATAATAATAATAATGTTATAGAAATGGAATCACAAAGTATGTGACCCTTTGATATTGTCTCTTTTCACTCATCAAAATCATCCAAGTTGCTGCATGTATCAATAGTTCCTTCCTTGTATGGATGTACCACAACCATTTCTTCCAAATAATCTTATTCGGGGTTAGCTGACATACTATGGGAGGCAAAAAATAAGAGAGAAATGCATGGATCTAGAGATAAGGGAAGGACTGAGGACACAAATCCACCAAAAGAGAGTTGTAAACAAGGATCAAAGAGTTCTCTGGAAAAGTACCAGGGACTGGTGTCAATCTGAACAAAAGGAGTCGGACAAAAAGCAGACACTAGCTCTTCTAAGCTCATAGATAGCCTCATAACAATGCAGTTGAAGGTTCTGCCTCCTCCATGCCAATAGTGCATGAAGTGTGGTCAGAACTAACCATCCTTCCAGGAGATGGGTTAGTTGTCTTTTTCCAGTCAGTCTGACTCTAATGGAACAAGCCTATGTGGGCAGTCCTGTTTCAGCTCTGTTTTCTGATTCACAATGAACCAGGGATCACAGGCAAAGAGTACATGTGCCTCTTTTAGAATGGCTGCCAGAAAATTAATTTAATCTTGAGCCTAAAACAATAGTTACACCAAATCGATATAGTAAGAATAACTCTCTTGTCCATGATCTGGGAGAACCAGGCAGCAGGTCAGACGTCAAGCAGGGATGTACAACCATCATTTACAGCTCAGGGCTGCTCTTGTTCTAGGTTGCTTCTGAGGCATTCTGGAAGGTTAGGGGTCCTCAGGAGGCCCTTGCTCAATTATGATTACTATTATGAAATATTATTACACTAAAGGTTGATAATTCTCCTCTTAATGCCCCTTCCTTAATTTATTTTCCTTTTTACAAAAAATAGCGACATGTTCTCACAATGATGCCCAGGCTGGTCTCAAACTCCTGGCCTCAAGCAGTCCTCCCACCTCAGCCTCTCAAAGTGCTGGAATTACAGGTGTGAGCTACCATGCCCAGCCCCTAATTTTATATGAAGGGGGATTACATGTTTTTCATGCATGTAACATGTAAATTATATTGGTATCTTATATATAAAGCATTCTACCTTAAATACTAAAAACCTAAGTGGGAGAGAAGACATGTAAGTCCAGTTGTCACCTGAATAGATACATGCGTGTGATGTGGCGAGGAAGGGAGAGATATTGTAACGCCACTGTCAGGAGAGTGAAAAAGCCAGCATGAACCT